TTCCTGGGCGTGAAGAGCGGCCCTCTGTGCAAAGCCAGTCTGGGCTCCCACATCAACTTCTGCTGTTTGCAACATGCCTAAAAATTCTGCAGGGGGAGCACAGTCCCCTCCCATTCAACCCAGCAGTATCTGCAATGCCGCCCCATATTCGCAACGCCATCCGTTCACACCCTGAACCCACTCTCCACCGCTCATCAACATTTTGATCATCCCACGCTGCCCGAAGATCAGCACTAATCAGCAGAGGGGGAGGCCTTGGGCCGATCTCTGAACAAGAGCTCTATGTGCCACAGATCCCTGGGAAATGTGGCTTCTAACTCTCTTCATATGGACTGCCTTCAGAATTCAAATATGAATTCAAATATGATCTAAGGTAATGTACCACGGTAAGAGGCTTTCTAAAGTAATCAGTCCTCTGATAGTTCCCTCCCTGGCTTCCGTCTCTCCAGCAGGCTTATCCTATACTATTTAACGGGCGACCCCCAGGATCAACCAGGGAGGAAGGCACTGCCACGGGGAACCAGCCAGAATTGTTTAGAGTCCAACAGAAACTATTTGTAAAGTATTTTATACTGTTAGTTGAAATGAAAAACCACTCTCCCTGTCTACAAAGCTCGGATTTAGCTCTTTTTACTCAACCATTAAAAATTTATTTTCCTGATCGTCACCTTTTGCATCTCCCATTTACAAAATGTCTTCCTCTCTCCCTGTCCAAATAAAGTTCGAATCTCACTTATTTCCGATTCGGACGCAACACACCTTTCACCGCAAGCCTAACTAGGTGCTGAGCAATGCAGAGTCAACTCAGCCTATTATCTGGAGATTTATCGTTTTACAGATGAAGGAACAGGGACCCCATTAAGTTCGCTGACTTTCCTGCTTCCAAAGACCTTGCAAGTGGCTTTCCTGGAGTTTCTGAGATACGGATGTTCTGCTTTCAGGGGGAACTCCGGGTAAAATATTTCCGCAGTACGGCCTGCATCTGGCCTTATCCCTCCAGAATCTTGCTGGAGATAAGGGACGTGGTTTGAGGAGAGCTTTCTGCTACTGGTAATCTCGCCTGGGGATCAAGGATTATACGCAATTCAAGGAAGGATAAATACAGCTCTCTGAACACTGCCGACAACCTTCACCAGGGACCTTCTTCCTGAGTTCAGATAACCAGAAATTAATCCTCCTGGTTTGCAGGGTTAGTCCAAACAGAGGTTCACAAGGAACGTGACGTTGCGTCTTGATCTGTTGCTGTCGTTGCTATTCTCTCGCCACTAACTACACTGTCTGTTCAAATTGTCAGGGCACCCAATTCAGAGGCAGGACCCAGGGCTCCTTTCCATATGTGGGAGGCGGACCAGGAGGTGTGGTCCTGGGAGGGCTTGACGGGGGAACACAGGGCATTCTACGGCTGACACGAATGCCAAGCAAAACGTGGCATATGCCACCATGACGACATCTGCCACCGCTAATGATGGCATCATTGCGGCTCTGCAAGGCATACCCATTCACAAATACTACCATGATGGTGGAAAACCTACCGAAACATAACACTCTCTCTTTAACCAAAGCAATAAAGCCTCCAGGATTTATTCTTCCCTTCCAGGAAGCTATGCATGTCCTTTTTGCCCACTGGCTTGCTTGCTCTTGTGTTAACTCTGCACATCTGCACATCCTATTTTTCACCTCCTCTTTTCTGCACAAGTCCCCAGGCCGGAAATTTTACCTCTGGCGACTTCTAAGTGCTAAGAGGCTGTATAAAACCTTACGCTGAAGCTCTGAGTAGTCACGATGGAAAAGTCACTACTTCTTCCACCTCAAATACTAGACCAAAGATGTCAGAAAGACACCCCCCCCCAAGATACTGAATGACTTCAGAAACAACACTAGGTCTCAGTTCCAATGTGTGACCCATGAGGTGGGACCCCAAGCCGAAATGGGTAAGAACAGAAGAACATTCCAGAGACGGCTGCAAGTTAGTTACTGCTCAATGGAACCACAACTGGCTTATGTAGGGAAAGAAAGAAGATCCAAAGGATGGCTGAAGTGTGAAAAGGTCAGAGCAGTAAAGGGTGACTAAGAAATACATTGGGCCCTTACCGTGCAATGATATTGTCTGTGTAACTCAATTTATCACCCCAAACACTGAGCACAGGGTGACTCCCCTTTGATCTACAGAGGAAGCCCTTTACACAGTGAGACTAGCGTCCTTTTTACACCGGTTATGGTGTCGGTTCAAGGGGTCCCCTGTAACTTCTGAAAGCACTAAAGGTCTTCACTGGCATTGTAAAACCCACAATAAATTGTGTTTGGTGTCATCAGTGTGGAAAGTTTTCTGAGTATTTTACAAATGAAAAGCCATAGATCTCCATTAGAAGGCCCTCTGTAAACACAGATGAAGTTACAGGACACTGCAGTATCTGCTTCTTCAAAAGGGTTATGGTGAGAAAAATCTCCTCCCTTGCTCTGTCAGGCTCTGCAGTATCTAAGTTCTGTTTAATGAGTTCATTAAGAAACAGGTATTTCTGGGGCACCTGGGTGGCTCAGTTAGTTAAGCATCCGACTTCAGCTCAGGTCATGATCTCACGGTTCCTGGGTTCGAGCCCCGTGAAGCCTACTTTGGATTCTGTGTCTCCCTTTTTCTCTGTCCCTCTCCTACTCATGCTCTCTCTCACTCACTCAAAAATAAACATTAAAAATTTTTAATAATAAAAAAGAGAAACAGGTATTTCTGCCCTTACAAGTTATGAAGCTTCTTGAGTCCAGAAGTCTGGGTCTGTTTGAACTAAGTGTCTGCGAATCAGTACTGAGGGTTTGCTTCTAGTCTACTGAGCCACTAAATCAGAATTCAGGGAATTGGGGATATTACTTTTTTTCCTCCTACGGGGTGGAGGGATATCCTAAAAGGCAGGACTCATGCAAGATGGGCAGGGGCCACACAGTCCTGGATCTGAATCGCGGTTTTGCCACGTCTAGCTGCGTGATCCTGTGCACATCAACTTCTCCCGAGTCTTGGTTTTCCAATTTGCTGAACGCGGAGGCATATCCACCCAAAAATGATCGTTTCGCAGATTACAAAAGAACTCTATATTGAAGAACTTATTTTCTAAAAACGTCTCGTCTCATATGTAGGAGATACTCCCTGTTAGCGGAACCTGAGAGATGCATTTCTAGAAAGAATAGTACAAGGCTACTTTCATTCATAGCGTTCCCAGTTACATTCCTGGGTCACAGGCAGCACCCAACTTTAAGCTTAGGTTAGAAAAAAAGGAAAAGACTCTGTTTTCTTCCAATGAAACAAGAAGCTGGTAGAACCTAACAAGCCATTAGCATGGAACTCTCCTGAAGACGACAGGCACTGGGGGCAACAAAGTCTGGCTGGCTTCCCTTACTTCCTTCCGGGGGTGTGTGTGTATTGGATACATACCAAGGCGTGGGGGGGGGGGGTGCGAGTGCGCGCGCGCAGGGGGGCGTGGTGGGGGTAGATACCAGACCTTGCCCCTTGCCCTGGTTTCAGCCCTCTCCACAGGACTGACTTCTCTGGAACACGTCTTCCCTCTGGACCCACAGAGCCCAAGACCTCAAGCTCCTGTCCCCGTGACACCCCCCCCCCCCCAGCGCTCCCGATCTCCTTCCAGACGCAGTGACCGCAGCTCTGCCTCCTCAGTCAGTGCCGCATCGCCGAGGCAGCTGAGGGTCCCCGCGCTCCCGGGCTCCGGGTCCTGGACGAGGAGCACAGGGCAGCAGAAACCGGCTGCGCCAGCGGCACCCCCCTTTCCCCTCGCCCTGGTAGCGCACATGCCTCCGGAGCAGTCCCGAAAGCCGGTCTGCAGAGAAGGTGACCCATCACCCCCCCCCCGCCCCCAGCAGGGTCCTCGGGCCAGAGCCCCCTTCTCCGGCCAGGCCTAGAGAAGTGAGTGAAAGGGGTGTGAGCACTGAGGAGGGGAGGGGGGTGATCGGGTCACTTTCTGGGCCCCGCGTACACTGCCCTCTCCATTTCTAGCCGGAATGAGAGCGAGGAAGCCAAGATCGCTTAGCTTCCAAATCTGCAGCGCTTCCAATCATCCCCAGAACACCATTCGATTCATTGTTCCCCGCGCCGGGCAGCTCTGCCCAAAGCCCGGGGGCGGCACCCCATGAGAACCCCGCGCGGCGTCTGCCCGTGCAATTCCTCGCCCCTACGCGCCGCCGCTGGGGGCCCGCACGTCCCTCGCCGCCGGGAGACCCGCACTTCTCCCGGGGCAGAACCCCGCCAGCGGGTCTCGGAAGTTTCCCACCTCCTTTTGCGACCCCGCTCCGGGAGCCCCCACGCGGATCCCACGGGAGAGGCGAGGAAGCCGGGAGGGCTCTCCCCAGATCTGCGCTCACGCCGGGTCCGGCCCTCCCTTTCCCTCTCTTCCCTCCCTCCGCCCCCCTCCGCCTCCCTGCCAGCTCCAGCCCCGGCGGCTCCGGAGCCTCCAGCGCCCAGCGGTTCTCCCCCCACCCCGCACCCCCCACAGGAGCAAACTACTTTCAGGGCTAAATTCAGGTCTGAGCAGGAAAGGCTTTCCCTTCCTCGCCGCCTTCTGACCCTGGCTCTCAGAAACCGCAAGGAGCGTGCTCAGCCCCCTAGCCCCCCGAAAGAGCTCAGGCTACCGGTGCTCCCTGACTTTCCAGGTCACAGGATCCGGCTGGGGCTGAACCCACCACGGGGGTATGCACACTCGGAATCTTTCCAGAGACCCTACCTGTGCCTCGTGGCTTGCAAAAAAGAAAAAAAAGAAAGAAAGAAAAAACAAGTAAACAAAACCAACCCCGCTAACTTTTGCGGGGAGAGTGTGTGTGTGTGTGTGTGTGTGTGTGTGTGTGTGTCAGAGAAAATAGCTCAAGAGTTAGGGCAACAGCTGCAAGCGCACATCTGGAAGAGGGGGAGGGGGGTGACAAGGAGGGGCGCAAGAAGCGCGAGGTCGCCGGGGTCTCCCCCGGCGCCGGCAGCTTCGGGGCGGAGGACTGGGCCGGCCCGTCGTTACCTGTCCCATGTTGATGAATCCGTACTTGCTGGCGATGCGGTTGGCCTCCGGGAAGCCGCCGGCGATTTTGACCGCCCAGTGGTTGGTGTAGACGCGCGTCCGGCACACGGGGAGCAGGCAGCCCCCGAGCAGCGCCAGCACGCACAGCAGGTCCGGGCGTCCCGGGCGGCCGCCGCGGCTCCCCCAGCCCATGGCCCCGGCGCCTCGCTGCCTCCCTCGCTCGCTCGCTGACTCGGCGCACGAGCCGCGCGCACAACTAACTTCTCCGGCCTGGGCCGCCGCGGCGCGCAGCCCTGGGCGATCCGCAGGAGGCGGCGAGCCCCGGCAGGGAGCAGACGGCGAGCCTGGCGCCGGCTCCTAGACCATCCCTGGGGGGCTGCGGGGACCCGCGCTCCGTGCCCTCCGGCCCGCGGGGCGGTCGGCGGGGGCTCCCCGGCTCCGGCGCAGGAGGCGGCCGAGCGGGGCGGGCGCCCTCCTGCAGCTGGGTCTCGCCGGCTCGGCTCGCGACTCTCCGACTCGCCTTCGCTCCTCCCCGGGCCCCGGAACGCGGCGGAGGCGGCGGTGCAGGCAGCTGCCGGGCGCCCCCTCTGCTGGCCCGGGCTCCGAGCGCTCGCTAGCTCGCTCCCTGCGCTCCCTCCGGCTCCGAGCGGCGCGCGGGGAGTGTGAGTGGCAATGGCAGCAGCGCCTGCTCTGCATAAATGACTCCCCCCGCCCCCCTAACACCCCTCCTCTCCCGCAGCCCCCTCCTCCCCGCGCTCCTCCGCCCGCCGGAGAGCGGCAGCGGCCAGGCGCCCGCCAGGTCCTAGCGCCGCCGGGTTCTCCGGGCTGTAACCTCCAAGGGTCCAGGGCAGCAAAAGCAAGTCTTTCCAAAGGGCTGGGAGCAGAGCTCCCGGCGTCGCGGCTTCACCCCCTTCTCCCCCTTTTCTCCTTGCATTTGAATCCGTTCGCCGCCCCCTCCCGGAAGACTAAAGAGATCCACGGGACGGTGAGAGTCCAGCGCCCCGAAGATTCATTCATCCTAGCTCTGAACCTCCTTAAGCAACTCAGTTATTTAGGAGGAAGGTCACTTGCGTGTCAACTGCCGAACAAATAACCCGAGATTGTCACTTCGTTAATTCTTCACGCTTTTCAGCAACTGTTTATTTTACACACTCGGCTTCCCGGAGAAGCTACCACCCAGGACCGTAAGGCGCATCGACTCTTGCAAGCGCCAACCACGGGGACTCGCGGTGCTGACTTTCGAAGTCTGTGCGTCGGAGACTAGGCAACGCCACGGGAGAGTAGAATTCCAGTCGCTGAATCGAGGAGGGAGGCTTCTATGAATATTTGGTATGAAAGTGGATGGAGCCGTTCGGGCCAAGGGAATAACTTCATTCATTCGTTCCACTAGGTCTGATGAGAGCTGCTTTTTCTCCACCGAGGGGAAAGTTTTCCAACTTTTTCAAGCGCGGCCCCGTAACAGTGAGAGACTTCAATGCAAAAAGGACCACAGAGGAAGTTCAGATGAAATATGTGCCTGAGCCGGCTACATCACTGTCTCCGGGCAGTGGGCAAGAGCGAGCCTGGATTAACCCCGTTTCTGCTGAACAACTTCCCCGCCTCTTTTGGCGGCCCAGGATGATGCCTTGTGAAAAGAAAATAGATCCTTTATGGAATAATTCGACTGGCCCCCAAAGTAATTGCTGTCCCCCTGGCTCCCACCCGCCCCTTTTTTCTCCCCTTTCCTAAGCATGGGTTAAATGGGCTTGAGATTAATTAACCCATCACGTCTCTAGCTTTGGGTAATGAGTCTTTCATCCGCCTAGGGCTTCACTTTGCTCCCTTCTCCCCTCAGCTGAGCCATATCTGCAAACTCAAGATGCATAAATGTATTAAAGCTCGTCAAATTCGTAAAGTTACATTCAGAACTCCTAAAATGGTCACTTTATGACATTTGGCACATCGTAGAAGGCATGCTACGTTACTTAATCTTTTTTTTTTAATGTTTATTTATTTCTAGGAGACAGAGAGAGAGAGCGTGAGCAGGGGAGGGTCAGAGAGAGAGGGAGTCACAGACTGAAACAGGCTCCAGGCTCTGAGCTGGCAGTCAGCACAGAGCCTGACGCGGGGCTCGAACCCACGAACCGTGAGATCATGACCTAAGCGAAAGTCGGACGCTTAACCAACTAAGCCACCCAGGCACCTCCCTCACTGATGAAGACGTGGAAGGTCAGAAGGACTAAATTATTTGCAGAAGGACATATATCTTACTGTTTATTTGACTGATTGGGCACATCCGGTGAGCACCCAGAACTTGCTAGGCATTGTGCTAGATAAGGAAGAAAGAGCGAAGAGGGTGAGAAAATGGGGCACAAAGGATTAGTGACATTCAGACTCTGAATAACTCCAGGGTAAATACGGTTTATTATTGTTGTTGTTGTTGTTGTTGTTCTTTACTGGTGGAAAGGCCTAAGCACTAGGCGTGGGCTTCAGGGTTTCAGTACAGTCTTGCTACTGACCAGTATCTTTGCACACACCACTTCCTCCGTCCCCAGTGCGGAGTCCAGCAAGTTTACGATCTATTAGGTCACTGTTAACTGCCACACAGCCCACCTACTTCTATCCACAGGACATTGGGTTGTCCTTCCAGAAGCTGATGGGTTTCAGATGGTGAGGGGAAGAGCTCAATCGAAATCCATATCTCAATATACATCAATCAGTCTTTCCTCCCTTCAGGACTGGGGGAGTTAGCTGTCAAATGGTAGGGAGCTCCTTCTGGGGATGATCACAGGAGGGTGGCTCCTGTGAGGAAGACACAAGGTACTTGATGAGTCAAGGCTGAAGCGAGGCTTGTGGTTTTCTCTGGGATTCTGGGGCCATTATTGTTTAGGACTGCATAAAATGCTTCTCTCTGAGAGCAACGTTGCCTCTGGGCTTCAACTTTTGAATAAAATGAAGAGGCGTCACTGCACCTGGTCTCCTGAGGCCTGATGGTGCTTTCCTACACAAGGCCACCTCACTGACAGTTTTTCTCCATGCTGTCTTTCCCCATTTTCTTTCTAGCTAAGATTCTTGTCTTCCGTGAGCACGTCCTGTGTGGCCCGTGCACACAGCATTCACTGCATTGAACATGAGAATTGGAAAATGAGGTAGGAAACGGGCAAACCACTTTTTCTGCTCTGTAGACCAATCCCTGGGCCAGCATTTTTAGCTTCCTCAAAGAGTATTATAGTCTTTCGTCTGGATGCATATGCGTTTACAAGGGAAAACCCTAGCTCTGTTCAAAAACTAGAAAAAGAGCTGGGACCCCATCTATCTGTCAGATTAAACACATGAATGTAGACGCATTCATCTTGTCCATCACATTTGCAATTGCTTTCCAATTCAGTTATCAAGAGCATGACTCTTGAACTTCCCTGATACTGGAGGAAACTCCTCTACCCTTGATGCAAAGGCACATCCTGCTTCCGGCTTTGGGATCTGCCTTCATGAACTCATTAGCCTCCTTGATTAGAGCCAGTTGGCCACAATGAAGCTTCCAGATAAAGATCAGTGGCTGAAACACACACACACACACACACACACACACACACACACACACACACACGTTCTTTCCCGACCTTAAGCCCGATTGGTTCCCACAGCCAGCTCCGTTATCCATGCGCCCGTAGCCAAAGGAACAAGATAGAATAAAAAGAATAGCAGTGGCTTGTGCAAAACCATCACTAACATTGGAAAAGAAGCTAAACCCAAGACTTGCACAAATGCTTCCTTTTTGTATGCAAAGAGTAGCCCTGCAAATCTGACCCTTGACTCTTCCCCCAGAACGTTCCATATGGCAGGAAATCAGGCAGTTTTAAGTTTTACTCTGCCTTATACTTAAGCAACATATTACTTGATAATGAGGCCCCACTAGTCTTTGGCCTCTCTGCCAAGGTCCCTCACAGCTTTAAAAGAAAATTACAGTGAAATGCAGTGAATAGAGATCCAGGCAGTTTAGTAGGAGAGGTGAATAAGAGCTCTGTAAGGGTTCATCTGGAAACTCTGCAAATGAGAATTGTTCTGAGGAGAGTTCGCCTTGTGAGACACCTCACCTCTTCCTCTGCTACCCCTTTGCTGAAAATTGACCGTTAAGGGCTCTTCTAACCTCAGATTCTGTGAATCAATAATAAATTGGTAATGGACAGTTTGGAGCTGACCAGGAAGGAAAGAGATGCCACTAGGAATTTCACTGCCCAGGAGTAGAGTCGCCAAATTTATGGAGATTCTAATCACTTTCCCAGTGCATCAAATTCAGAATTGGCAGTGAAAATTTGTCAAATGTAATGATAATAATAAATGGTAGCAATAACTACCATTTATTAAGGACTCGTAATATGCCAGGCACCGAGCCAAACACATTTCAGGCCTTAATCTCATTCACAGAGCATCAGAGCTGAAAGAGATCTTAGATCTCAGAGAATCTAACTTCTTTATTTCATAAAGAAGAAAACTGAGGCCAGTAGAAAACTGAATTGGAAGACAGTCATCCTATCACGGGAAATTAAGTTCACAATGCATGAGTAATATAAATAAAACAAATAGATGGCTACAAGGACCAAAGATGACAGTGTGCTACGAACCTGGGGTTGACATTGTTTTGACTGGCACTCCCGGGTTAATATGACAAATTTCAGTAGAGTGAAAACTGGACTTAACATTTCTGATTTCTTAGATATTTAACCACCACCATTTAAAAACATCATCCGTGACATGTATGAGGCAGCACAAGTGTTAATTCGGGGCTTGATTTTGCCTTTATTGCAAATGAGGTATATAATGGGACACTAGCAGGTGGCTAATAGCCTGAAGATTTCAGGAAGCTTAGGTTCATCTTTGACCTGTTTGAGGTGGATTTAGATTGGCACGGTTGACCCCCTTCTGTGGACATTTAAATCCTGCAATGACAAATTGGTTCCCAAAGGGCTTTCAGTTGGAAGGAAGGAATAAAGCATGCCAGTGACTTCTTTGGGATATATATGAAGGAAGTGACCCCAACTGTCTATCACCTTCTAGCCTCGACCCCTGGGTCCCCAAGCAGTATCCCTCCAGGACGTATATGATGGCTGGATGTGATGTCACTTCTCCGCACCTCAGACTCGAATCCAAGGAAAACCAAGTAGAGGAATGATGGGAAAAATCAAAGAAGTAGGCTTCGATGTTGGAGTTTCACCTGCCAAAAGGAATCAATCCCACGTCCATGGTAATCGCCCTCCTCCAAGGGCTAAGACTTTCTCTTTTTGTAGTGCCTCTGACCCCTTTTT